ACTACTAGAAAATTGCCTAGCATGTAGAGCGATGCTGTGAATGGAGCCAAAGACTCATGTCCAAGGAGAGAAAATCACAGTTACAGCCAATAGTATTAATACAATTAAGATTAATTGTTCTAGTTAATACAGCTTTCGTTATTCTTTGGAATCTTGCCTCCTGAGATGTTTCCTTTTGCAAACAATTAGATTGCTCCACTGAACTGGAGTAAAAAAAATATTGAAGAATAACATCTCATTTGGTGAGCTCAGTTTAATTTGTGAAGGAATTAAGTTTTTATTATAAATCTATTGGGATGGAACATTGCTATAAGCTTCATCACAGCAGGATCCTGCTAATGCTGCAAAGAAAGGAATACTACTATGAATCATCTCAACCCCCTTTCTCTCTTGGGTTGTTATCATTGACAATAATTGGAAGTGTTGCCGCACACGAGACATTTTGTCCAGTGTGTTACACTGAAACTCACTGAACGATGACTAATAAAGAATTATAGTGCCAAACAAACTTTGCGCTCATTAATGTATAGAATTGATTGTCAATTTTTTGTAAGGGAAATGTCTATGAAAATAGTACACTGTTTGACACAAAACCATATTCTTCAAACATGAAGCATAATGTTCATGTGACTTTATTATGTGATTAAAATACTCTACATCAGTGGGTCATGCATGATGAACATCACACACAGTCTCTTGCTCACTCTCTCTCTACAAAAAAAAAAAACAACCAACCAAAACAAACAAAAACGTTTTCAGGAGAAATGCAGAACCCTGAATTCACGTTCACCAAATTAGTGAAATATAAACAATTTTCAAATATTTTGTATGTATTTGTAATGATTATGGGCTTAGTCTTGCACACATGTATGTGTGTAATTTTATTTACACAAGTATCCTATTGAGGTCAATGTGGCTGCTCATGTAGGTACAGTTATGCAGTCATTTATCTTTTATGTCTCTCATTGGACCCAAGTTCAAAGTTTTCTGCTGCTCCTCAAAAAGGAGGGGGTGATTGATCTAAGTTACACAACTTCAGCTACGTGAAGTCGACGTACTTAGACCTACTCACCGCAGTGTCTTCACTCCCATACTCCGCTGCGAGAGGTGCAGGCGGAGTCGACAGGGGAGCGGGCGGTGGAGTACGGGAGTCAATGGGGGAGCGCTCGGGGGTCGATTTATTGCGTCTAGATTAGATGCAATAAATCGACCCCTGCTGGATTGATCGCTGCCCGGCAATCCAGCAGGCAGTGTAGACATACCCTAAGTGTCTATGGACAGATACGGGGTATAAGAACAGGCACATGAAAAGTGGTGTGTGAATTATTTGGAAATGAGAAGTGCATGTGATATAATATAACAATGGGACTATGCACGTGAGTAAAGTTACTGTGTAAGAGTTTGCATAAGACCTGTAGTCTGCTAGTATGTTCTAAGTTCTAGATCCTAAATAATATTTTGTGTTGTAGGGACCTACTTAAAAAGCACTTCAATTCACATTCAAGACCTTACCATACTGAAGGGGGAGTGAAATGAATTTGTAGTGCTTCATGAGGGATGACAACTTGTGACAAAGAATATGATAAAACATGATGTTAAAAGCTTGTGTGGGTTTAATACATGGTTATAGTACTATTTAATTTAATAATAATAATAATAATTAATATAAATGCAAATAGCACCTATTGCTACTGCCAAAAGGTGCATCTGTTTCTGCTGCAGTTTGCTAGAGAACATCCTCCAGATGAATAGAATTCTAACACACGTTATGATGTCAAGTACATACAGCATCAATTGAGTGTTTAATGTGCATGCAGAGTATTGTTCAGCAAAGAGGTGGCTATAATAAGTGTGCTATTTTATTGTACTATTTGGAAATCTAAATGATTTGTAAACTCTTAGAATATGGACCTTTCAACAGGGTTTCAAATGCTATATATATCGTCTCCATTGTTGTTTGCCTCTGAAATTTACAGGTTGCTTTTAGGCCAGTCTCTCTCTGTCTGTCTCTCTCCTAGGTCTCACATAATTTACAAATTTTCAAAGTATTATTTTTATTTCATATATGACTTAGAAGATTTGCTTTAAGATTATTCATGCACATTGGTTGTAGTTCTGGGAAGGGGGTTAGCTTCAGTAGTTGCTAGAAATCCCATTTTGAAATTACTGGTTCAGCTAAGGTTAGGAAACTATTGAAAATCAACCTTAAATTGGAACACTGTTTACAACTTCAACTATAGAGAGACTACTGGTCTTTCCATAAAACAACTTAATTTCTGTGTAATTGGTTTCTTATTGTCTCTGATACTTTTTCCCCACTCGTTTTTGGTATCTTCCCGTCATTTCTTGACTTCTTTTCCTGTTTACACAGGGTCAGAAGTGCCCACGCTTCTTTGCCATTCCTTGCAGTCCATGGTACAGGTTTGTAGGCTTGGAGGTCCAGGCCTTTTCTCTTCAAGCTTCTCTTGACAAAGTCTTTCCAACATATTCTCAGTCTTCCTTTCTTGCTGTTCGCTTCCTCCCATGTTTTCTTTGCTTGTCATCTTTCTCCCATTCTTATCACATGTCAAGCTCACCTCAAACGTGCCAGCTTATCTGTCACGGAGAGTCCCAAGTTAATCTTCCTCCTGCTTTCTTCCCTGTACACTCTGTCTACCCTCTGCATGCTAGCCATTCTCCTCAGTATATTATTGTCTACTACTTATTTCCTTTTCTTCCATCTCTGTAAGACCCACCATTTCCAAACCATACAGCAGGTGGGACAACCATGCAGCAAACACTGTTCCTTTCAGTTAGTTACTTAGTTGCCCATCCCACAGTACTTCTGTCACCTTTTTCACATTAGTTTCTTGTTTTCACTTTTCCAGTTCTTTCTCTGAAGGCACTAAATGTACTTCCCAAGTACACATTCTTTCTTCTGATTCAGTTTTTCTCCTAAAACATCAGTCAACCTCTCTTCTTCCACCTTCCCTACTTGCATAACTTCAGTGTTCTTTGTGTTTTTCTCAGGATTAGTGAGTAGTGCGTAGCAGTTAAAACCTACATTTATCATTCTTTCAAATTTCTGTCTCATTACAAATATTGTATTTATAGTACTCCTTCCCTTCTTAAAGCCATGTTGCTCCTCTTCTATAGTTTCCTATACCTTGCATCTCAGTCTTGCTTCCAAAATTCTCTCAAGGGCTTTGAGAACCTGACTTAACAGGATGATGCCCCAATAGGTGTTTGGATAATCTGCATCATCCTTATCCTTCCAAAAAGGCACAATCAATCCCATTCTTCAGTCATCTGGTATCCTACCTTGCTCTAATAAATCACATATCTGTGAAGCCATGTTACTGCAGTATCTCCAGTGGCCTTGATCATATCAACAATTTTTATGTTCACCAGTTGCTTTACCAATGTTTCTCTTATCCAGTGCTGCTTCTGCTTCCTCTGTAGAGATCAGTATCTTTTGAGACTTCCACATACTTGTTGGTGCTTGCATTTGCAGCTTTCACTTCTCATTTAACAGCCTATGAAAATATGTTTTCCATACCTCTACCATCTCCATAGAGTTACTCACCACATGATTCCCATTCTTCTCACATAAAGAATTCTTCATACTTTGTGCTTCATTGTTTCTCTATTTGGCCAGCCCCCAAACCAATTTCCTGCTACCATCTTCCTCCAGCTTTCAGTATCATTCCTCTTTTGCCACCATTCTTACCTTAGCCAACTGCCTTTTTAGCCTCAATTTTTGTTTACATTTTTGATTCTCATGATCATGAACTGCTTCCTCAAACTCTCTGAATTATTCATTCTTTGTTTTTAACTTCTTTTTTACATCAGACTTGCACCACCGGCTTGTTCTCTCTGAAAGCACCCCATCTTACCACTTATTCTGCCACGTTACCTCTGCTGCTTTGATAAAACATTCTTTAAACTTCCTCCATTCTCCCTCCACTGACTTCATTGTTCTTGGCAAAGTATGAAAGCTTTCCTTTACTTTTTGGCAGAACTCTTTCTCTCCTCCCCACCTCCATTTACATAACCACCAATGCAATTTCTTCCTCAGCATCATCATCTTTCCTGGTTTCTCAGGCTGCGATTTTTTTTAGCTGTTAGTACTTTGTTGTTCTGCCACATAATCTGTCAGTATAACCATTTTGTTTTTCACCATTTTCATATGTTCTCTTCTTATCAAAATATAGTCCACCTGGGGCATGCTTTTTCCACTGTAGCATGTCACCAGGTGGGATTCTTTTTTTTTGAACCACGTATTTGCCACTGAGAACCCATTAAACAAACAGTGCTCAACCCATTTCTTTCCTTCTGCCTTTTTTACCAAAGCTAGATTTACCCTCCATTCCATCTACTGGGCACCCTTCACCAGCATGGCAGTTTTAATCACCACTAACAAGGAGTTACTCTCAATCATGACCACTAACTCTGCCAGATCATTTCTAAAGCTCTCCGTCTCTTCCATAGTTCTACCTTGTTTAGGAGCATACGCTGACATAACACACGCATTCCTACTCTCTATCTTCAACATTCTGCCATCCATTGTTCTCCTTTATACCCTTATGAAAACCTCAGCAATCTCCGGGCTCACAATCAGAGCTCCTTTTTGGTATATTGTATTCGTTTTAAGAAGAACAGGAGTACTTGTGGCACAGCTATTGACACTGTACATAATTTCTATATTTTATCTGTTTTAAATTTAATACATTTTTATATTTAAGTTTACTCTTCTTGAATTGTTAAGCTAGTCATGGTGTCCCAAGGCCTTCACATTTTAAAAAAGAGGCTATTTTTAAGTATTATATTAAGAAGTATACATTAATATCCATAGGAATGCAATTTCCATTCAGTAAGCTGGAACAGAAACACACTTTCCACCCTTCAACATCTTGGACATAGATCACATGTTTCTAAAGTTTATAGAGAAATACATTCCTTTTCTGTTTTACCTTTCCTTGTTAAGCATTAACATCTAAAATTTTTACCATTTTATTTAGGTTCCGAACATTATTCGTAGCTGGTGAACGCTGTGATGTGGAGACATTAGAATGGTCCAAAAAAGTCTTCAAGGTCCCAGTGTTGGATCACTGGTGGCAAACTGGTGAGCACTTTGCAATATTGTTTGAAATTCTCCCTCTCCTTCCCCCTCACCAAAGCTTTACAGACTTGATTCCTGTTTTCTGCAAAGCAATCACTACAGGTGGATCCTTCCATCCACATGACTTTCTCTTTATGTTTGCATGGGGTCCTATTTCTTTAAAGATCCACTTATGCTTTTCTGGATGGGGGCGGAAAGCAGTACATATTTATTTTAAACACACTGTTTGCTAATGTGGAAAACACAATATAGTGTTTTCTGATACCTGTGTTTAAAAGATTTAACATCATTATTATCATCACTATATTTTCCATCTGTAACTATATTATACATGTACATGTGTTATCCTCTCACACAAAACTTGATCTATTAGAGAAGATTTTAGATTTAATTTATACACTTTCAGTCTATTTTATGTATGAAAAAATATGGCACACTATAGGCTCCTCAGTTTTTGGTCATGTTCCATTTGGACCTGATCCAGCACCCATTAAATGACTACCATTGACTTCAGTGGGAGCTGGATCGAGCCCGTAGGTCACAATGGGAGAATCAAAAGCACCAGTGTATGTGTAACTGTGTGTCACAAATTCTGGTGACAGTTAGACAGCTTGGTTCTGGCCGTTAGACTGAACAGCTATTTACCATAACTCTGAATGACGTGTGTGTGTCTCTATGTAATATATATATATAAAATTATCAGAATGGGCTTCATGTGTTACATAAACTAAGCACTTTAGAAAAGCCTTATGCTTGTTTTTTTTTTTTGGATCTCTTTGTGCCAAGAATATTCCTTTCAGTTTCTGTTCATCACTGTTTGAATATAGAATTTCACAGATCTTTGTATGAGGCAGAAAGCTTTCTGCCTGCTCCATGATGGGTGGCACATGGAATGGGCATGAGGCAGAAAAATGTGGTTTAAGGATACAGTTGCCTGGAATAGAGAAGTTTCTTTAGTTCTGATCTGATCTGATTTGATTTACCATATACAATAAAACCAGTCTAGTGGGCTTAAAGTGCAGCTATTTGTATAAACATTTCAGCACTTGTGTGAGATATTCGAAAGATAATGGTATTGCCTGTTACTTAATCCTTGTGCCTATTAGTTGATAAAAATAAAAGTGTTACAGCATGGAGAGAGAACCTATTTTTTTTTCTTCCTGTGCAACTTTAGTAATACTGAAGGATAGATTCATAAATAAAACAATCCATTTTCATTTCTGATAGGTTTGAATAAAACTTGTGTCGTTCTATGCAGCTAGTGCACCCAGGCTTAAAGAAAAGGCTCCCTGATGTCTGAGAACAAACATTTGTCATTCTTAGCAGGAGACTGTGTTTCATATTAGTTTTTTTTTAATGTAGCGAAATCTTATGATGATCCTATATCAGTCTGTTATCACTTTGAAGAACATTTTATTAAGTGGATTTCCATTGTTGTGAAAGATTACTGATTCCTATACTAAATAAGTCTTCAGTGCATTAAATCATACCCTGTGGAGATCCATTCAATTACATTTGAAAATTCTGAGCTTTGGAGCAAGACAGTTCATGCCAGATAATGCTGGATGACTGCTGTAATTTAAGCAGGTGTTAGACAGTTCGTTTGGTCCTATGAATCAGAGTACATTTTATAAAAGTATTACAGAGGTAAAGAATTTAATAGTTATGAATTGTTGACAGTCTGGCATAGAGAGATTGGAAATCTCTCAGACAGGCAGGTCCTTAGCTATTTAGGGCTTCATAGGTCGATACCAACGCCTTACTCTCTACCTGCAAACCAACGTGCAGCCAATGCAGATCAGAGCAAAGTCACAGATTCCAAGGCCAGAAGGAACCATTGTGATCATTTAGTCTGACTTCCTGTATGACACAGGCCAGGGAAAATAATTCTGAGTGCATATCTTTTAGAAAAATACATCCAATCTTGACTTTAAAATTCAGTGATGGAGAATCTACCATAACCCTTAGTAAATTCATCAAATGATTAATTACACTCACTATTAAAAAGGTAAGGCTTTTATTTCCAGTCTGAATTTGTCTAGCTTTAGCTTCCAGTCATTGGATTGTAATTGTACCTTTCTAATGAAGAGCCCATTATCAAATATTTGTCCCCCATGTAGGTACTTATAGACTGTAATCAAGTTACCTCTCAACCTTCTCTTTATTAAACTAAATAGATTGAGCTCTTTGATTCTGTTACTGTAAGTTGTGTGTTTCTAATCCTTTAATCTTTGTTGTGGCTCTTCTTTGAACCCTCTCAAATTTATCAACATCCTTCTTGAATTGTGGGCACCAAACTGAACACTGTATTCCAGCATCAGTCGCACCAGTGCAAAATATAGAGGTAAAATAACTTCTCTACTCCTACTCAAGATTCCCCTGTTTACACACGCCAGGATCATTTTAGTTCTTTTGGCCACAACATCACTCTAGGAGCTCATATTCAACTAATTATCCACTAAGATTCTCACATTTTTTTCAGAATCACTACTTCCCAGGATAGAATCCCCAATCCTGTAAGTATGGTATGCTCACAGTTGCCACATTCTGCACTAACTTCAGTTTTCTAGATGATTTAAGGTGAAGTTCCATGTACAGCACATTGCTGTAGTGTAGTATTAAAGTGACAATGTGATACCATAATAGCAAGGCCACATCTGAAAGAAATAGTTATGCCTTCCGGACCAGATGCAGATGAAAAAATGTTGTCCTGATTACCGCTGCTGTGCGATCATCTAACAGCACTTGGGGTTACATCAGTACCCATAGACTGCAAACTTGAGTAATAAATGATAGAGAAACACACCCTCATTTGTATGGCCAGATATAATTCTTGCCATATGTTTGGGTTGTTTCCCCAGTCTTACCAATTTCACTTCCTTCTTGCCTAGGCTGAGCTTCAGTCAGTTATCCATGGCGCAGCATCTATCAAATGCTAAGTAAGGCATTAGACAGCATGGTTGTCAGTGGCATATTAAAATACCATAGTACATATCTCCTTAATCGGTCTGTATACACTTGGAGTAGAAAGAAAGAAGATGAAGCCCTGAGGGACCACTCTTTGACAGAAAAGCATTTGCCAGCAATGACCATCTGGAACCTCTTTAGGAGATAGGAATGAAGTCTGTGAACCCTAATGGAAGAAAATGGGGCAAGTCAACAGTGCTTCATGGCCAATGGTATTTATGAGAGCCGATAGATCTGACAGTATCAATATGTATCAGAGGGGTAGCTGTGTTAGTCTGTATCCACAAAAACAACGAGGAGTCCGGTGGCACCTTAAAGACTAACAGATTTATTTGGGCATAAGCTTTCATTAAGGTGCCACTGGACTCCTCAGTATCAGTATGGATACTTGATCTTTATCAGCAGATCATCTAGCAAGGCATCCAGAATACTCCACACTCTGTACCCAGATTGACAGGGGTCAGGGAGATTTTGTACGTCAAAATGCTCTGAGAATTGTTTTGCCACAGTACCCTTAACCAAAAATGGAAAATTGCGATCCTGGGAAAAATCTTGCTATTAGCACCAGCACCAAGTGATGGCCTCACAACAACTTCCTTTACAGAAATCGGCAACCTGTCCTACATAGGTCATTGGCAGTCTCTACCAGCTGGGGATGCTGTTCTTCCCTGCTTGCCTTGCTCAGAAAAGAAGCACTTGGTTGCAAAGCACAGATTGTAACACAAAATATTCCTAACGTCTCTAGTATCTCAGGGAGCATCATTGGCCTAAACTTAGCCAGAACAGGCTTAATCACTCTGCATCTGCTGAAGTGGATATTTCAGGCCAATCAATTTTCTCTTCAAAGTAAAATGCAATTTCCTCGCAATGGGAGGTACTCGCTTCAGTTGGAATAACCAAAGCTGTCCATTACTTGAAACAACTCTGCTGATCAGGAGTAAGCCAAAGCTAAAAAATAAACTCCTGTTTGCCTCATGCACATCAACTGCAAAAAGGCTTTAAAATTGTTATAGTGCTATTGGTCAGATCCAGCCCACTTCTGTCATTTGGTACTTTAGACATCTTTTTCTCTCACTTTATTTGTCACAGATCACCTGTAAACCATGATGACATATTAGAATGGAGCCAGGGAAGATGATATCTAGGGGCTGGGTCAATAATACATTTTTTGTTTTCTTTTAATTGCTTTTATAGAAAGTCTTATGACAAATTATATACACATTTTATAAAAACAAACATTAAATATATAATTTGCATATCTTAGAAGATATGATTGTATGTGTTTGGAGTAGGGGAGGTTTGAGAGACCTACCTATGGATGGGAGTAGTGCATTTGAACATTGTGTTCATCTATGTAGAGAAGGGATAATTTTGTTTTGGTTTTATGCATATATTAGTGCAGGTGCTTGGTTTTTGCATATTTATAGAAAAATAATACTTTGCATTTAAATAGCATTTTTCATCTTCAAAGTGGTTGTTCAAACATGAGCTAATTAATTCTCATAACACCCCCGTGAGGTAGGTAAAGTGTTATCCCACTTTCACAGATGTGGAAATTGAGGAAGAGAGATGACTTGCCCCAAGCCACACAGCAAGTCATTACAGATTCAGGGTTAGAGCTCTGAAGTTCCTGTGCTCAAAGAAAAAGTTTCCTGTCATGCTTACATATGTTTTGTTCTGTGTGTGTGAGTGAGTGATGGGTAATAGAAAAATACATTTGGGTCCCAGCATTATGTGTGTATTGGTGTTTTAAGGGAATATAATTTGCCTCTGGCAGGTTTTTCTAGTTAAGCATTCCAAATAAATATCATGTAAGGTACTTCGACAAAAATATCTTTGAAGTATCCTAAATCTTTTAAAATTCAGGAATTATAATTGGTATGTCCAGTTTTCCAAGGAGGTGCCCATTTTCCTTAGCATGGATACATGAGGAAATACTGAGAATGGATTACTCCCATTAGAGCTGGAACCTGGATTTTAGTAGAGGAATATAATTGTCACTCCAAGACCTCTTCATTGCTGTAATTGAAGAGGTG